AAATGAGCTTATCATTTTTCGTGTTTCATCTGTATTATTTAGGTCTTAGTCGGGAAGATTATGAAAGTAATTTATTGACTTTAGGATTCAATGCAGTTTGTTTCATTTGTTGTCTTTAGGACGTATATTTCTCATATTCATGTTTCTGTCATTGATTCATTTCGAATGGCATTTTGTGAAACTTGTCGAAATAGTTGTTGGAGGAGCTTTGATGACACTTGTGCTTGTTGGGTATAAAACAAAGGTGAGTATAATTTTTTTTTAAACAATATATATTATCATAAAGAAAGAATATATTAGATTGGGTCGGTCCCAAGAAAGATGAAATGGGTATTCGGTGAGCTATTGTAGAGAAGATTGGACTCAATAAAAAGCATCCCGAATATTCCACTTTGAAAGTATTTAGGATTGTTTTGACGGTGTTTATTACATGTGTGCTTATATGCATTCACTTTTTAATTGTTCGAATATCCTATCTTATATAATGAAGAATTGTTAGTTGCAAAAACACTTATATTTCCAGCTTTCCGCTTTTGTACTTGTCATATGGCTCTTCGGTTTAAATCTCTACCTGAATGCCTGGTGGATAGTGCCATCGGATCGTTTTTATCGTGATTTCATGAAATACGACTTCTTTCAAACAATGTCAGTTATTGGTGGGCTGTTACTTTTGGTGGCCTATGGTCCCGGTGGTGTTTCGGTTGATGATTACAAGAAACGATGGTAGACGCACAATCTTTTAATTATTATTTATAAGAAGCTTTCTGCCAAAATATGTGTTTTTTTTTTTTTTATCAAAATGGATGTTTGGCAAATGACCACCTAATTTTTATCAAAATGAGAAACCAACCAATTTTTCTCCCAAGAATACATTTAGTTAGTCCTTTTTTCTAATTCTTTTGGGAAACGATGGATTGTCGCAAAATTGGTAATTGTGACTATAAATTTTTGAGTTTGACTGCAAATATTAGCCTTAATAAACAGTATTGTATAAGATAGGTAAAAGCCTTCGAGAATATTTATATGGTGCGACACACTTTGCCTGTTACAGTACCATTTTTAGTTTGATAGCAGTAAATTCGAAAAAATTTTTTGTGTTCGCTTCATTTTCTTTTTTTTCAGTACTTTATAAATCATTCTGTGCAATTCTTGGCGCGTTTTTTTCTTTTCTTTTTTTTTGTTTCCTCTCATCGTTGTTATAAAAGTCATCATAGTTCTCAAATTAAAAGCCATCAATTTCTAGCTTGAAATATTGGGGTTTCCTAACAATTTGTTTCCTTCATACGTTGGTGTGACGAAGGGAAACCAGCTCATCGGTTGTAAAGTCGACTGCTACAGGAGGAAGGTTATCGGGATAGAGAAAATCGTTTGTTCTTTTATGCTTCTTCGACGTGATGACTGATAGATTGGTGGGTTTTTAGAAAGTGATGCTTACTTTTGGATTTTATTTATTGGTTTCATTCTCTTCAAAAAACACAATTCTGGCCCATTTCATAATTCCTATTTGCGGCGCAGGTCATTTCATGTTGTAGTTTTTTTTACGAAGTATTTTTTATTTTTTTTTGTTTGTTGTGTGCAGTTTTTGGACACTTTTATTCATTCTTGCGAACTGGAATTTTTGCTGTTGTAATCACGTATAAACAGGACATACCGTTGCTTTCCATTCAGTTTTTTGATTTACTTCACTAATTTCATAGTAAATACGTAACACCCTATAATTTCCTATACCAATTTCCTAGTCGACTAAATTGTGAAGAAAATAAATATCCCAAGTGGAAGTAAAAATTTCTTCAATAGTTTTCTTTCTTTCCCTATTAGGTATCTTGATACCACTTCTTCCTTCTCGGAGTAAAGCTATGTAATGTGTTGAAGTTATCGGCTGCAAATTCATAGTTGACCACTAGGAAAATGGATAACCTTACAATGCTGGTTTTGTCCTTGAAATGCATAGGTAGGGATTTGGAAATAAAATTCCTTTTATTTGATAGCTGAGCATTCTCTTGTAAGATAACCATTCAGAATGATTTTCGTTCCTAATGGTCAGGTTTTTTTCAAATGATAAGGGTTTGCGTAGCGGGACAGAGTGAAAATACACGTGCTTGGAGCTGCGAGGGAGCGAAGTATTTTGAAGTATTAACTGACACATTCACAAGACTTTGACTACTAGTCGACTGTTGTTCGAATTATCCCATTTCTTTCTCTTTCCTCCGCTTTAGCCTTTCATGGGATTTACCAAGCCAACCTTTTCCTAAGAGCATACAAATATTCCCAATGTCTTCTTTTTTTAATAAGATGAGACGTACGAATAAACGAAAGTAACTTACAAATATAGAAACAGGAAGGGAGAAAAAGATAACTTACAAATACAGAAACAGAAAGGGAGAAAAAGATAACTTACAAATACAGAAACAGAAAGGGAGAAGAAGACATCTAGAAGAGTGCTTACCTTAGCGAAAGATGACAAAATACACACGGATACACCGCAGTGATAAACCACTAAAGATTAAGAGCATTTTATGGAGTTATAGAAAAACGGGTTATTTGTAACAAACAGAATGTGAAAGCATTAATATAAAACATAGATGGTGAGAGAGAATGGTAGGAAGGGGTAACGTATACACTTTGGACAAAACCAGAAACATAAACACTTTCAGAGAAGTAGTGACTGCTTCACAACTCCGCATTACAAATATTATAAATAATGCAAATTATGCAATTCTACAAAGAAAGTATGACAATGATACCGAATATGCACAATCATTCATCCCAATGTGGGAATCTTTAAAACAAAGCTAAATTCAAAAGATTCTCCATGTGAACATGTGTATTTACATAAATTTCCAAGTTACTAACAAACTGCAGATATGAACACAACACATCGCAGGATCCTTTTTAGCGGTTAAGGTCTATGACATAATCGTGCCCACAAAACTGAACATGCCGTCCTGTTATACTTGTATTTCCGGATATTAACTTACAGCTTAATTCTCAACTGTGCCAAGCTAAGGATGTAGGAATTCGAACACTAAAGAGTGGTTGTATATAAAAACTTCCTCTTTGTCAAGTTAGTCTGGAATTCCCGATTTTTCGGGATTACTGCTATTTACCAATCAAGCACATTCGGCATCAACTCTGGACGGACAACGATATGCTTGCTGATATCAACCTATCTAAATACAACAACGAAACCTTCTGATATTCAGAAATTGAGAGACTCTCTTCTTCAAGATACAAACTTATATAACAATTCTCAACTTTACCTAATTTCATCTCGAGCAATTTGTCAAAAAGACCAGCTATCTATTGCTTGTTTGTGAATAATTCTAAAGCGGAAAAAAATGGAATTCTGATTTAATATGATTATATTATTGATGATCCAGGAAAAAGCCAGCTCGAGGAAGAAAATAACTGGAAGTAAAAATTTACATTTCTGCTAACAATTACAATTCTTCCCTTCTTGTCCCGCTGATTGTGCAGAACGCGGCAAAGTTTGTTTTGGCTGGACACCTGTGTCAGCTTGATTCAAGTCAAGACTGAAAAACAAGAAAAACGGGATTCCAACAGTTCATAATTTTTCCTTAAATATAAATGATGGCGACTATCGTTCGGTGATATTCATTCTAGAGTAATATATGTTCCCAACAACCAGTAAGACATAGAGTAGATAGCGCTAAAAGTTGGACAGGACTAACTCTGGAGAAAAGACAAACCTGCCATCTTTAATATTCTGATATATTTTTCTTGCTGTATCCAAGAAAGCATCTTCCACATTGTCACCACTAAAAAATGATGACGTTACATGGAGATTAGCATAAAGAACTAGTAGAAATTTCACCACATTATTTTTTCGCTTTTTTTGCCAATAGCGAAAAACATGTGAGCGGCAAAACAAAGCACGGTTGAAAAATCAGATAAGTAAAATAAACTCATACGTTTTGGCCGAGCATTCTAAAAAAGTTAAACCATGTTCATCAGCAAAAGCTTTTGCTTCCTCAAATGTAACATCCCTTTGTCCATCCAAATCACTTTTATTACCGATCATAAATATGACCTAGAAATAAATTACACTTACATACGGTCATTCAAGAACACGTAATAACTTTCAATATCAGAGAAGTTAAAAATGACTCAACTTCCCCATATGGGGTAGATTTGATGAGGTATTGCCAACAGCCTGACCGGAATGACATCATTCGTCTAATTCAGGTAACCAATTTACAGTATTATCTGCTCTGTAGCTGTCACTATCAAAAAACGCGCAATGAATTGAACTGCGTGACTGTCCCCTTGCTGGTGATGAAAACGAGGTAAACAGACCCTACTGATGCATTGTTTGCTGAGAATGTCTTTGAGTCAAGTTCAAGGAATACGGCAAGAATGGGGACATTGTGCGAATACCGTATTTGGATGCGTAAGGTTCCTGGCATCTGTTAGCCAACTGCTCAAATGATTGTAGGTTGAACGCCGTGTGATATCATAAACCATCAAAGCACCAGCAGCACCTCGGTAATATGAACGAGTCACTGCTCGAAATCTGACAAAATATTAACCATAATAAAATTTTGAAACATCAATAAAACAACTTCATCAGGAGCCAAATAAATTGCAAACCGACTAAAATAAGATGAGAAAAATGAAGAAAGATATCCAGGAAATACGACAAAAGCAGTGAACACTAACAGCTGATACCGCATTACCAACCAAAGCTAAAGAACGACTTAAAATGAATCAATACCTGACCTAGAAGTAGGGACGGGAACCTACCAGTTGCTTACTATAAAGACCTATCGGATCTTAGTGCTCCACTGTAGATCATTTGAGACACTTTATGACTGTCATCCCTATAATGTCTAATAATTTGTGACGGAAATCTTTGGTCAATTAAACTTACAAAAATATTCAGAGAATCAGTGGTATTAAATAAGAGATTCAAACCTTTCCTGACCAGCTGTATCCCAGATCTGCAGTTTGATTTTTTGTCCACTTACTTCGATAATACGTGTTCCAAATTCGACGCCTATTGTATGAGGACAATCGGCCATAACTACAATGTCCAAAAATGGACAAAATCAGGTGGATTTCACATTTAAATTTTTCAAGACAACAATTTGAACAAAGATGGAGATGATTTCTGTACGGAAAGAATAACTTGCAATTCTACTATCTGCAGGAGGTTTAATTTTAGAGTCTGAGGTATGGCAGAGTCAAACATTTTTACCAAAACTTAAATAGAGTGAGATGCTCATGTAATACCATATACTGCTTTTCTATTGTATGAGGACAATCGGCCAATACTGCAATGACCAAAATGATCAAATCCAGTGGAACTCACACTTCTTTTCGGTGAATTGATGTAATAAACATGATTTGCCAACACCCATATCACCGATGATAATGTACTTGAAGATATATGAATAATTGTAAGGCCCATTCGATGACATCACTCTTTGATTAAATCAATTATATCCTGTAAACATGGCATTATTCACCAAAAAAGAAAAAACGAAAAATGCGGAGCTTCCATAAAGAAGCATCTGGAAGTGACATTTGCTTACTGTATGTGTATGGTGGGCATCAAACTTTCAAATACGATAGCATACATCAAATCTTAACTATCAAATAACGTTAAACAATTGATTCGGTAGTTAAACAGCATAAATGAAGCAATTTTTGAGAAGCTCACAAGATTAACTCTTCTCTTGTCCTGTTTGCTCTATTCGCTCAATTCAATGTATAAATAAATGTGATGCATGTACACTCATGCCCATACAATTCATACGGAATGCTAATCTATTCGATTAATTCGTCTTTTGTTCTACTTGCTGTACCTCTGCAGTTAAACGTATAAAATGACTAGTATACGTAATCTTTGGTCTAAGTGAAATACGAATTTATTCCAGTAACAATTTCAAACCATACGACAAGAATTATCACCCCTCGCTCCTCCTATCTCCACAATGTAACAATCATCAGCTACCACCACCAGGGCGAGAACGTTTGACAGATGAGACCAAGACTACCAAATGTGGTCCATGGCTCTAACGGGTAGTCACTATGAAATAATTTAGCCTCAGGTTTTGTCGATTTCCACTGAATACATTTTGTATGGATTATTATTGTTTTAACAATTGAAATTGCATCCACTGATTGATCGAATAACCCAATTAGATTAAATTAACGAAACTTTAACTAATCAATAAGCATAACGATGGATTACATGGACTGCTCGAGATTTTTATTGACCTTCATTTGGTATAACTATTGATATCAATGATTCAATTCAAAAAATGCAACAAAAAACAACAAAGAGAGATAGATAGATAAAAAAGAAAATAAAAGATGGCAACAATATAATCCATATCTAAGCAATTTACGTAATTTTCAATAATATAATCATAGAACAACATAGTACAAAATACACACAATAATTGTATGAATATTTTTGGCAAAGAAATTGAGTAAAATAAAATCAATTGGAAATTAAATTCTAAGCAAAGAATTTGAATATATCGTTTATATTTCAAATTTAATATCCTTTCAGAAGCATACTGTACAAGTAAATTGTAGTTCATGAAGAGAAAGTCATTATTATGCTATGATAATATGAGCATTAAAGAAATGATTGAATTAAAATTAAATTCAATAATAATTAGAAAGTATTATAAAGGATGTGAAAATTTGTTGATTATGAATATGAATGGGAAAAAAGAAATGATTATAAAAGTTGATTTTTGTTTTAATTTTGTTAATATATTGGATAAAATTTGATTTAAAATTTTCACATCCTTTAAAGTAAAATGATATGAAAAAATAAAGTTTCACTATTCAATTAATTTAGTCTATGATATCAAGTTTTCAATAGGTTAGATAAAATCCATTTGATCATCATCCATGGAAATATCATTTGAGCCATTAACATTACCATCATCCATATCATTATCACGACCGTTATCACGATCACTATCCCTATCACTAGCACAAACAATCTCGTTATTATCCTCATACTCCATCTCACTATTGTAAGAAATTCGAGAGCCATTATCTGGTGCATTCCTTTCATTCGCAGAATTATCATCCCTCCTAATATTGTTATCATCACGTTCATCTGTATTTCTACCTTGTCGAATAATTCTATCATTACTGTCACCTGTACTGATATTGCAATCAACTTCAGAGGTATCTTCATCAAACGATACTTGTCTTTCACCCCACATATAATTGATATCAGCTGATCTCCTGAAGATATTACAGCTACAATCAACATGAAAACTTGCGGAACAACGTTCGATTGTCAAAAGTTCACGCATGCTTGGAGCTTGAAGTTCATGCACAAATGTCGGATTATCCGTTCCTTCGACAAAATCGCCATTTTCTGTTTCCATTCTATCTAATACAGTTAATGCTGCTCCAAGTGAACAAATATTCAACCCCCATTGGAAAATTTGCAATATGTGATCGGTCTAAAATTAACGATTTGTTAATACGCACGTGGTTAAACGTGATCAATTGATAAATCAAACTTATAGTAAAATGAATCGCAATTAATAAAAAAAAAGTTCGAACTTATTCAACACAATGAAAATGAAACTTTGTAAAAAAAACCAAAGTAATCAAACTTAATAAAAAATATAACTTATGCTAAAATCAAAATATAAAAATTAATAAAAATTATTGTTTTTCTTCGAATAATCATGCTACTGTAACCATATGTTTAATATTTTTAATTTCCTTTATATGAAAATCGATTAAAAATGGATTATACTTTTCTGTTTCAAATATGATTGTAATATTTTTCACAAATTATTCCATTGAATATACATTAAAATGAATTTACAACATTATCAATTTCACTTTTTTTTTAATATGAAATACCTAAGTGATCTATGACCTTTTAAAAAATATTGAAAAATTTTCTGAAAACATAAAATATGTGCTAAAGAAAAAACATACCACAATATAAAATATTCGTGCATTGGCATGTTGCAATGCTTTACCATGACGTGTCATAATTGCGATAATAGTTTGAACAATTCCTGCTTGTACCGTAACCACTAATAATGTTGTCAAACAATTTGATATCAACTGTAAATTAATTAATTAATTAGTAGGTGTAGAATAAAAAAAAATTTTCCTTTTTTTTGGAAATTTTCAAATTTTGATTTAACAAGTGATATAATTATATCATCTCTTTATAAGTTTTATATGTTGAAAAAAAGAAAAATGAAATAATGAAATGAATATAATCATTAAAATTTTTATTCCAGCATTAATTAAACATTTCTTTTAACAAAATTGATAATTAATCATCAAAAAAGTTCAAAGTTCATCAATCCTTTTATTATCATTATCATTATCATAATCATTTGAAAAGAAGAACCTGTATGATAAGTATGGTTAAACATCGTTGAATACGTTTATGTTTGCAAACCCAAAGTTGTAGGAAGCATGTTGAAATAGAATTAATCCATAAGAATAATTCTGTACCCAATAGGAAATCAATTTTTGTTGGGTATACTCTGTAGATCTATAATTAATACATTCTTTAAATAATTAATTAGTTGTTCAATTAATTGTTTTATTGATTGAGTAGCTTGTAAAAATTAATACATTATCATATCAATGCAAAAATTACATTATTTAGAAATGACAGGAATAATATTTTATTTCGTTTTATTTTTATTTTTTTTCAGCTCACATTTTTTATTAATCGTTTATAATATTGGGTAAATTCAATCTGGGATATTAAGTAATTCAACTTAGGATGTTGAGTAATTCAATACCTTTTCCATTTTTATCAATACCCACTGTACTTTCCAAATTTATTTCATTAATTTCAAATGTTATAATGTTGTTTATCATTATTATTTCATTTAAATGAGATTTTAAATGATTAAATGATTGGTAATGCAATCATTGATGCGAAATTAATTTAATCCCTAATTTAATTCTATTGAAAATTTAATTGAAACTTTTTTTTTAAAACTTACTACAGCTGTGAAAAACATTTCAGCGATAACGACAGCAATAAGGAGATATGCTAATTTATTAAGCCAACGAAGTGGAACAAGAATAGTTGTAGGTAGAGTATGTAATGGTGTATGCTTTGTTATTGTTTGATAACAAAATATGGTTGATTTAATTGATAAAACTGTTAAGCTCAATGAAAGGAAGAAGTAACTTCCTGAAAATATCATTTAATGAAAATTTTAAAATACAAATAAAAAGGATTCAAAAATTTCTTATTCAATGTATTACTTAACTAATAGTTACTATCAGTTAAGAATGTATCGCATGAAAGAATCAGTTAATTTTCATATTTTCAAATATTTCAAAATAAGAGGTAAGGAAAATTTTCAAGAATGATAACTTAAACTGCAATCATTATCATGGCCAAGTTTTGCAAACTAGGCTCTACCCAAGTTTGCTGCAAACGCTACAAGTATGAATGTATCCATCGAGCTTGTCTAATTGATTTTCCATTGGAAGTATAGTGTGAGCGAAACTATCTTCACTCTTTACTCCTAAGGTTCATCTACCAGGGTCCAGCAAGCTTGGATGGTGACAGTGAAGTTCTTACGACATAAATTTTGTTACAATATCCTACTCTTTGAGTTGTCCTTCTCCTAGGGTGATTGCTGAGAAGCTAGCAGACCTATCCTTTTCGTAGACGCACTTTGTCTGACCTTTCAATTATGACCTGTCGGGATGATGAAAAGTGCGGGAAAAAAATGAAGAAAAAAGGGAAAGGAAAAATTTTGAAATTATTTTTAATATTTTGCAAAATTATCAAATTAATTGCTTTTCCAAATATTGCAAACTCATTAACTTATAATTATCAAATAGTACCATTGATTGCAGAAGTTTCATTGCTTTTATTCATTATAGAATATAATTGACCAGTAAACATGGCTTCAACAAATAAATAAATTGTATGGACGGATGAATTTGCGATGATAATTGATAAAACAGCTAGAAGTTTCTAAAAAAACAGATAGCGCCTTAACAATAAGTGATAAGTCAAAGTGCGCAAGTTAACAATAAATGTTGAATGAAAATAGTAAACGATGAATGAAAATTTTTAATTCAAATAGTAACTTAAATACTTCAATTAATCATGCATTATAGTAAATACTTAAAATAGTTATGAATTAAAAATTACTTATTCATAATTTTTAGTATTTAACTGACTTGAATTTTTTGAAAAAAAGAAAAGAAGTTTTGTATTAACATTTTGAAAATGTGAAATTTAAACGTTTTTGAAAAAAAAAATTAGTGGATGCTTCTTTTAAACGTTTATTAATACTGATATAATAAATGTAATTATCTATAAAAATCTGCATAAAAATAATTTAATTGATTAAGAATTGGATTAATGACATTATTTTTCAAATGCATTAATTAAATTTATATTTATTAATTAAATGTAATCAAAAAATAAATAAATAAACTTGCCAGAAATACTGTCCGTCGTCCTTTTTGGTAATAATAGTAAATGATTAATAAGCAAATTGTATAAATTAATGAAACTCCAGTATGGCCAATTCGACTTGCTTCACTGCTTTTGTAATAGGTTATATCTGTACCAATACACATAGCCGATAATATCAGAGCACCATAAAACAACGATCGACTTTTCCTTCTGTCTAAAATAAATTGTTTAAACTTTAAATCATAAAATTTAAAATTTTCAAAAATTGAATTTTTTTTTCATTCCAAAAATATTTAAAATTCGAAATAATCAAGTTGCAATGTGTTTAGAATCTATTAATTTATCATATTGATGGTATTTTATCAGATTTATTCAAATTTCCATCTCTGCAAAAAAAATTTTAAAACTTAAAAATTCCACAATTTTTTTTTTTACTTTTAAATGTCCAAGTACTTTTTGGATATATAGACTACAAAAAAAAAA